TTTTTTTTTTTTTTTTTTTTTTTTTTTTTTTTTGTGTGTGTTTATTTTTTGTTTTTATGTGGAGGTGGACATTCCTGAATTTTATTTGGTATAAAAAAGCTTTGGTATTTTACAAACAGGTATAAAGGTTTAAAATATGTTCTGAAAATATTGAGGTTGAAACAGTTAATTTTAATATTCCATTTAAATAACAGCAGGCCTAGTGGTGACCTCCGAAAGGTACAAACTATAGCAACTTCTTCATATTTGGGTCACTTTATCTAGCAAAGACATATTGTCCCCCAAACTATACAGCTCCAAGTTTATCATTTTGCAGCCCTAAGTGATTTTTAGACTTCACTTGGTAATATTTAGGGGCTTGGCCAGCTCTTAAGCTAACAACTCCTGCTCTAGGCCCTCTCGTTGACATTCTCAAGGCAGATCTGGCCCCCACTTCACCTGGAGCACTGAAGCCACAGGCTAAAATTGTCTTAGTAAAAGTTAATCTGAGAGCTGGCCAAATAGCTCAGGGGATTAAAGCGCCTGCTTAGGCAGACACAGAGGCAGGGAGTTTGGGAGTTTGATCCCTGGCCTGCCATGCTGGCCCCGCCCCTGGGGCATGCTCAGACTGCGATTGAGGTTGGACGTGGTGGTGTGCACCTGCAATCCCAGCACTTGGGAGGCTGAACACAGGAGAATCACTACCAGTCTGATCTACACAGTGAGACCCTGTAGACCCTGTCCTAAATACAAGCAAAATACAACACAACAAAACACAACACACAAAAAAAAAAGAAAGAAAAAGAAAAAAATTAATCTGGCTCTGTCTAATGTTCAACGTTCTAGAGTTGACCCATCTCTGCCAGTGTTTCTAATTATTTTCCCAACTCAGCACATGCGCATTGCTGTCCTTTGGCAGTCTCAGGGCCCCTTACAATGGCTTTGCCAGCCACATATTCCACACGAAGCTATTACTCACTTTCCTGATGCGGTGGCAGACCTGGTTGCATATGGGTGAAAATGTGCTGCTCAGCTCTTTGGCCATGAGGTGCAAACTCTTATTGTTCCCTTTTCTTCAATTCATCAACAGTGATTGTGGCAATTTTCATCCTCTAGGCTATTGTATTTATTAACTTATTGATTGTCATTATCTTTCAGACAAATTAATTCAATTTGCTTCCATTTTCACAGATGGGGCATATTAGGGTCCTGGAAGTTTTGCGACAACCTCCTCTTCCAGAATAAAAGACATAGGTTTCTCTTTTGCGCAGAAGACCAACTTACAGCTGTCTCACGGGCCTTGCAAGCGTCCCTGTGTCACTGGCCATTTATGTTCCCCTTCCCAGCCACCAGGGAGCTCACATTCTGAGTCTGGCCCCTCACGCAGCGCCCCCGCTTCAGTGGACACTTCCTCAGCATTCATTCTTGCTTCTGTCTGCACTTGGTCTTAGCCCCGAGAGAATCTCAGATTCTGTGAGAGGGCATGTCTCCTCCTAGGGCCCTGCACTCATTCCACTTGCCTCTTTTATTTAGCCTTTGCCGTATATGAACTTGGGAGAGTGCAGACACAGGCCTGAGCCATTTTCGCAGCTGCTGTCTGGAGTTTCCTGTGCTGCCAGGAGAAGAAGGAGTGGCCTTGTTGAGGCTGCTGAGGGGCAGAGGAGACAAAGAGCCGTCTTGGTCCCAGGGAGGGTGTGACCAGACATCTGGGTGCAGGGGCGTGGAGGCCCTGTGCTGAGGTTGGAGCCCTCACCCTGCCCTGGTGGCCTAACCAACACTGGCCAGAGGATCAGAGGACCGGGGGGCCCAGAGGACGGTGGGTCCTCTTCCTTGGCTTGATCACACCCCGTCTTCACAGCCTCGGAGGATGCCTGGCAGGGCTGCGACCACACGGCACGCCTGGGGTAAGTGACTTCAGTGACTGTGCTGGGGGCGGGAGCCCTGGGAAGTCTCCTCACGCCTTGCGACTGCTCCCCTAAGCTTGAGGGATGGCAGGCTGGGGGTTTCATTCTTGGGGTATTGAAGATGTCACCAGAAAGGGGCCCAGGCAAGAGAAGAGAAGTGGGGAGGCTGGAAAGAGGGAGGTGCTGAGGGTCCCCCCAGCCTCTGTGGTCCTTTCCTGCTCAGGCTTTGCTGCAAGGCACTGGTAGCCACGTGCTGTAGTGGGCAGGGCATGTGGGATTGCGGTGGTGTGAATGTGTCCCCCCAACCTGTGTGGGAAACTTAATCTTGGAATTCAGGAATTCAGGTTTTTTGTGTTTTTTTTTTTTTTTTTTTTTCCTGTACTGGAGATTGAACTTGGAACCTTGTGCTTGTCAGGCCAGCACTCATGCTGCTGAGCTATTTTTCTGGCCCAATCTTAGAACTGAGATTAATAGAATTAGAAGGTGGGATCTTCAGGAGTAATTAGGGTTAGATATGCCACAAGCGTGGGCTTTTTGGTGGCATTCGTGACTGTATAAGAAATGGAAGAGAGACCCACGTTTGTGCAGACCCACCTGCTCTATCTCTCTGTGCGAGGCCCTCACTGGTGCAGCCCAAGTCCACGAGGCCTTGGGCTTCGTGACTTCTAGATCCATGGGCTAAATTAACCTTCTACATTACCCAGTCTCAGGGGTTTGTAATAGCCACCACAGAAGGACCACCACAGGCAGGGAGGAGGTGTGCTGTGTACAGTGTCTGGGCTGTCGGAAATTAATTCAAACAGTGCTTCAACGATGGCCTGTATCCCGCCCCAGCGAGGCGCCGTCCCGCACGCCAGCCTCCAGTGCTAGGCGCTCAGGCTTTTCGTGTGCGGGAGTCTCATGCTTTCTTCACCCGTGTGGGGCTGCTGGGCAGGCTGGCTGTCACGGTGCACTCTGCTCCTGGGCTCTGTGGACTTGGTGCTGCGGGCTGAAACCCCGCAGCCCCCTCGGCCTTCAACGGCACAGGAGCCCTCCGACCTCCTGGGAGGGCAGCTGGTGTTCCCTCTCTCTGTCCCACTTGCTCCTGGCCCTGGCTGTGCTGTGGGCCATGCTGTGGGTCGCCTCTCAGAACCATCAATGGGATGGTGATACCATGCGTGGGACATGGGTGGAATGCGTGGGGACACTGGTAGATCCCTGCCCACTGAGGGAGAGGAGCTGAACGGCCACCACAGATTCTGGAGCCTGGCTTGGGGCTTCTGCTCTTCTCTGGAGCAACTTGGGCGTCCTTTCTACCTAACTGGCTCTGAGTTCAGTGGCTGCAGAATGTCTGAGCCCTCATCTGGAAAGTGGCGCTCAGGACAGGTGTGCAAGTGCTCTTTCTTCCTCTGAAGTGCATCGTAGTCTGTTCTGTGATGCTACAGTGGGATACGAGGTCCTCTATGAAGGAAAGAGGTTTATTTTGACTCATAGTTCTTGAGGCTGGAGTTCAAGCCTGGGTGATTGCCATCGGTGAAGGCCTCATGCGGCCTCACAGCATGGGCCGGCAACGTGGCAGGCAGAGGTAGGTGTGGAGGAGGAGCTGCACACTCTTGTGAGGATGAGTCTGTTCTCATAGTGCGTCAGTCAGCTTTGCATCACTGTGACAGAATACCTGGGATAAACCACTTAAAAGAGGAAAAGTTTGTTTTGACTCATGGTTTCAGGGCGTTCAGTACCTGGTTGCCTGGTGCTGTTGCGGTGGGACAGAAATATCATAGCCCAGGAGGGAGTGAAGTTTTTTACTTCTTGGTGGCTGGGCAGCAAGAGATGGAAGGGCCCAGGGCTCCAAATCCTGCACCAGGGCACCGCCCTTGTGACCGCACGTCCTCCTCCTGCCCCACCTCCTGAAAGGCCCACCTCCTCCCAGTGGCACCATCAGCTGGGATTGAGCCTTTAATAAATGAACGTTTGGAGGGAGATATAACCCACAGCAGAAGGAGCCACCATATGCCTTCGAGAGTGCGGAGCTCAGGACTGAGCGCACCCCACGGCCCCACCATTTCTTAGTACTGTCACATGGGTGATCACATGCCAACATGAGTGTCAGGGAGCCACATCCAAATCCCAGCAGGGTGTGAGTGGGCCACCCCGAGTCCATTTTGACCTCTCTCCCTGCGACGCCCCTGCCCCTGCTGTGCTGCAGTAAGCCCAAGATGTCTGCGGGCCTGCTCTTCTCCTTGCTCTTGTTCCAGTCGTGGATGCCTCATTCTGTGAGGGTTCCAAACGTGCATAGGGTCTGGGCACCTATGGGTGGGCCCTGGAGCTCAAGGGGATGATAGGTGCCTGGACTTTGATCTGAGTCACCCCCAGTGCCTCAGGGGTATGCCCCATTCAGCCAGGCTAGGGGCCCATGGGTGGCATCAGAACAGCCACCAGACCTAGCCCTGAGGCTGGGGTAGATGTGGTGGTCCCCCAAGTGCCCACACTGGTGACCCGTTTGTCTTCCCTGGTGACTAGCTGAGGAGGGGTGTGTTATGCCGATATTAAGGGGAAAGACAGGCAGCAAAGGTCCAGCGGATCACTGCCCAGCCCACGGGCCCTGAGAGCCCCGCCAGGGCTTGCCTCCTACTGTGGGTATGGGGACTTAGCCAGTTCAGTTCTTTATGAAATAAGAATGAGTCAAGCAGAGGTGTGAGGCAGGCCAGGATGGGGCAGGCCTAGAAGCTGTCTGATAGCTGGAGGTGCTTCACGGGTGCTTCTCGGGGTCCTTGGTAGTCCCCTCTCGCTCTTTCCTCCACTTGGACCTCAGGGCCCCAGGCTGATGGCCCGGGAGGCCTCAAAGGTTCTGACCGCTAGTGCAAAATCACTATGACATCAGTTAAGTACCTGCTGTGAATCAGCCAACGCTGTGCCAACTGCCTTTCACACGTGACCTTATTTGATGTAGTTCCCAAAATAATCCACAAATACTGAGTTTCCCACCTCACAGAGAAGAGAATCGAAGTCCAGAGAGGTTGAGGAACTTGCCTGAGGATGCACAGCTAGACAGAATTCCTTGGTGCTGACCAAGCGGCTCCCAGTGCCGGCCAGCGCCTGGCCATCCCTGCAGACTGTGGGCCCTGCATTGAGCTGGGCTGCGCAGTGTGCAGACCAGGTCCTGCCTGTCACTGATCGTGTGTTCTTGGGTGCACCACGGGACATGTCTGTGCCTCGGTTTCCTCAGCAGGACATAGGATTACTGTGACTACTTGAGTTAACTAGCACATGCAAAGCGCTGACACAGTACCAGCTGGGGAATCGCTGAACTCTCTCAACCCCTGCTGAGGCAGCACCGCCAGTCCTACTCCCGTTTGTGCCCTGGGTCCAGAATCTCTTGCTTTTGTTTTAGAAACAAACAGGCAGGTGGATGTGCTGGGACAGCTGTGGTCTGAGTGGGTGCTCAGTGAGAAAAGCTGTCCCCACTGTGCACCTGCGGGGGACCTGGGCTGGCACAGGTGGCAGAGCCTGAGCTTGGGTCTTGGGGAGCACAGCTGGGCCTGGCTGCAGGGTGGCAGTGTAGAGACACTGGCCGGGGGTGTGGGTGGGGCGAGGGCACTACCACATGTGGGTCAGATGCCCTAGGTTTTATCTTAAAATGTTATCTTAAAAAGTTACTTATTCTATTGAATAATTTACTACACAGTACCTTCAAATGGGAAGTTTTCTTGTTGAAAACTTTGTTTTAGTATACAGTGGTATCTTGGTTTACGATCTTCATTTGTTTTATGGCTTGGAGGAAGATGGCTTGGTTTGTGTTTGTGTGGGTAAGACAGCCGTGTTGTGTTTGTCACCCAATGTGGGGTTTGTGAACCGAGAAAAAATTTTGCCACGTGCTTTTGTTTGCAAGCTGAACTGTTTGCAAAGAGGAGCGCCAGTAAACTGAGTTATTACTGTTGTGTAAATTCTAAGCACATTCATTTATATCTTATAAGATATAGTTTGATATTCAACTGTCTTCTACTTTGATAGCTAATACCCACGTGGACACAGGAGGCCCCCCACCCCCCAGGGGGCCCGGCGAGGACGCCCTGCGCTGCGCAAGCCTGCTGTCTCCGCTCCAGCGCTCGCGCCCTGCTTCCTCCCCTCCGCGCATACCTTGGGCCCGTACAGGTAGGAACCTCAGGGGTGACCCCACTTTAGTAGCAGCCAGGATGCCTGTCTTACACGGATTCGTCACAGACTTTGATGACTGTGCCCCTTCTGCCGGCAGTCGGGGCACTCGTTACAAAATGGCCTGCTCTGTTTGTCTGGGCTGCTGTGACGACATACCTTAGTCTGAGCGATGCACAAACAGCGGAGATTTGTTGCTCAGGATTCCGGACGGGGAAGCCAAGATCAAGGCGCCAGCAGGTTAAGTGTCGCGCCAGGCCAGGTCCTCATCGATGGCCCTGCCCAGGGCCCTCTCGTGGTGGGAGGGCACAGAGGCTCCTCCGGCCTCTTTACCTGGCACTAACCCGCGGGCCTCTCTCCTGCGACCTGGCCAGCTTGGGGTCACAGATCTTAATACTGAGCTCCCGCAGTATGAACTGGGGGCAGCAGTGCCAGCACCGCCCCCCTAACACTTGATTGTGGTGAAGATGCACCCCAAAGCCAGTGGCTTAGCAACACGGAGTCTGTTCAGTCATAGAAGGTCCCAAATGGCACTTCCCCTAGCTTCATTAAGCCATAGTGGACAAAGTAATATCCATTTTTTTCCCCGTATTTTTTAGGATAGGGTCTACAGGGTCTACAGGGTCTGCAGGGTCTGCAGGGTCTCACTCCAGTAGATTGGACCCATAGTGATCCTCCTGCTTTCAGCCTCCCAAGTGCTGGGATTACAGGTGTGCACCATCACACCCAGTCTCAATTGCCCTCTCTGGGCGCCCAGGGGACCGGGCAGGCAGGGCACAACGGGGATGGAACCCCAGCTGCTGCACTCTGCCTGAGCAGGTGCTTTAGTCCCCTGAGCTATCAGGCTGGCCCAAAGCAGCATTCATTTAAAGCGTGCCATGTGAAGGTTTGGCACACACTGGGAGGTGGTCGCTACAATCAGCATCAACACATCTGTACCCCGTAGTCCCCATTTTCTTTGTGGTGAGGAGTTAAGCTCAGAGCTTCACCATAGTCACGAGCTGGGCATGAGGCCTGAGTCTTCTCCTCACTGACATTTGATGCTGGTCTCCCCAGTATCTCCCGGGATCCCCATGCCCAGTCCCTGGCAGTCCCTGGCAGCCCTGTCCACACTGCTGCCAGGGGCTTCCGACTCAGGAGAGGCTCTTGGCTTCCTGCCTGGGGCTCTGCCATCAATCCCCATGGCCAGCAAGGACTGAGGGGTGGGCAGTGTGGAGGGCTCAAGGCCCACTGAGTTAGGGAGGCAGTGGCTGGGTGTCTAGAGGGGGCCCCCAACTGCAGTGCTAATTCTGAGGCTGCTGAGGTAGGGGAAAGTGTCCCAACATCACACAAGTGTGAAGCTGACACTCTGGGGCTGTACCAAAAACCAGCACCAGCTGTCTGAGCCGGCATACCTGCACCCAGAGCCCAGCCCTGAGGCCACTTGGCAGAGGGCCACATGCAGGAAGACAGCCAAGCTGAGGTCCCTCTGCTGCTGGCCTTTGGAGCACAGGGAGCTGAGGGCCACCTGTGTGGGCTCCCTGCGGCCTGAGCAGCCCAGCACCAGCTCAGGAGCCCAGGGGGCTCGGGGAGCGGGCAGAAGGCAGCACAGCTCTGCCCTCACTGCTTCTCTGATCTGGTTTTAAGACAACTTTAATTAGTGCACGTTTGTGTAACATAGCGATTAGTTCATTGTGGGGGCTGGCCTGCGGACATGACAATCCCAGCTCTTTTCACCTCCTTCCTCTCTCCTCCCTCCTTCCGTTGTGATTTCTTGTCAGGATCTGTTATTCCTGATCTAAAATACGGCTGTAAAATATGCAAAGCTAATGTTTTCATAGAGAAATGAGTTGGTGTTGTGTGTGTGTGTGTGTGTGTGTGTGTGGTGTGTATGCACGCTATTAAAGGATGAGAACACAGAGCTCCATTCTCAGCCGTGCTTGGACTGAGTGTGGTTTCTACAGATGTTCATTGCGGCTGCTGGGCATCTGGAACACGGGACCCAGACCCAAGGCAGTGCTCACCTGGGGCAGGGATGCTAGCGATGGTGCCTCCTGGCCAGGCTCACTGGGGGCCGGCCTCGGGGCTGGCCGGCTGGTCCGAACCCTCACCCAGGCCTGAGACGCAGCCGGCATGTTGCTAGATGAGAAATCCATAGCTGGCTTCTGCATCTGCAAGTCACGTGTCGCTACATTTAAGAAGCTGTGAAGAGAAAATATTGAGAACAACTTCGCATCTGCACTTACCACTGCCAAAGTCTCCCTTGGTCGTGGCGCCCTCAACAGCGCAGCCTAGAAACAATCTGCATTGCAATAGGAACTGTAAATATCTAGATGATTTAAAGCACATGAGGGGATGTGCGTGGGCTCTACGTAAACACTGTGCTATTTGTTGTGAAGGATTCGAGTGTCTGCAGACTTGGGGAGCAAGTGGGGTCCTGGGACCGACAGCTGGTGGTTACGCAGAAATGACTATGTTTTGCATTTCATGAGCTGAGGTACAGTGCAGAAGTTGGATCAGTTAATGCCTTTGCATTTTCCAAAGCACTTGCTGATATCTTATCTCCTGAGACTGGCTCCTGCACTTCTCCCCTGTGGAAATGATTTCCAACTTCTGCTTCAAAATGGAGGACTGGGGAGATGGCTTAGCAGCATAAGTGCCTGCCTGGCAAGCACAGAGCCCCAGGTTCGATTCCTGGTACCGCATGCCATGCAGGTCCTGGAACCCCGGGGCATGCTGTGCTGGCTCTGAAACTAGCTTGGTGGTGCACATCTATAATCCCAGCAGTGGGGAGGCTGAGACAGGAGGATCACTCTGAGTCCAAGCTGCATAGCAAGACCGTGTGCCAAATAAAGGAACTCTTGACCAGTCTGTTCTCTGCTTTCACTATTACATGTGACTGTGTAAATCTATGTCCAGATTTCTCCTTTCTACACGGATGCCAGTCACACTGGATCAGGGGCCCAACGCGCTGCACTGTCCCTCATCTGAACTCATTACAGTTGCAATAAACCTGTTTCTGGGATCAATTCATGTTTTATAGCACTAGGAATTAATATTTCAGTATATGAATTTTGTTTTTGCAGTGCCAGGGATTGAACTCAGGACCCTGTGCTTTCCAGGCAAACACTTATTCTACTGAGCTATCTCCCCAGCCCAGTATATGAATTTTGAAGGGACAGAATTTAACCCATAATAAACAAGGTCACCGGAACTAGAAAATGACCTGTTCTGCTGTTCTCTGATGGTACTTCCTGGTCTTTCCATGCCCTGAAAAACTGTAAGGTGGGGAGCACAGCGACAGCTCTGCTGGCACGGTGGGTGGGCCTACACTGAAGGGCCACTGTTATGGTTTGTGTCTAGGTGTCCCCCCAAAGCCCCATGCAGTCTTGGGGGGGGGCTTCTGGAGTTTGTGATTGATTACTGTGGGTGTGGATGCTGCCCCTGCCTGGGGCAGGTAATCTGCATTACAAGGTAAGGTGGGAAGAGAAGCCAGGGGCTTGAGCTGCTGCTACCTCTCCTTTTGCTCTTGCTCTTTGCCTCCACCATGAAAGGCTGCCCTCTGCCTTGTGCTGCTTTGCCTTGGAGCCAGCTGAGTTTGGACTGAAACCTCCAGTAACTGTGAGCTAAATAAACCTTTCCTTCCTTCATTTTGAGTGTCGGGTATCTGTCCCAGCAATGAGAGAACAGTAACTAAGACAGAATTTGGTACCAGGAGTGGGGTCGTTGCTGTGGCTCAACCTGACCCTGTGGATTACAAGCTTTGGGAATGGCTCATGGGAAGAGATAGGAAAGGTTCGAAGATGTTGCCCACAAGTGAAGTGCTGGAACAGCTTTGGCTATTCTGTGTGGGAGATTCTGGTCAGAGCTCAGAAGACCAGAAGGCTGATGGATAGCCGGCCTGTAAAGACCAGGCTGGGGAGGTTTCTGCTAGGAAAAAGGACTGCATTGGTTGTTGGACTGCGGATCATTTGTGTTTTGACTTGGCAGAAAAGCTGTCTGCATTTTGCTCATGTCCAGAGACTTTGCCTGAGACTGAGTTTAAGCATAGTGGACTGATCAGTCTGGCAAAAAATATTTCAAAGCAGCCAAATATTGGGGCAGTGGCCTGGTTGTTACCGGGGGCTTTTAGCCAGATTTATGTTGAGAATGAAGAGCAAGGAGCCCAGCAGGAGGATTTAAAATGTGAGCTTGGCCAGAAAGAAAGCGCCAAGAAAGCTGTAGACTGCAAAGATGGAGCTGAGAGGATCTCCATTGCCGGGAAAGAACCTGAGAATGGAAGGGATGGCCTGAGGGCATCACAGGAGGAGGCAGGTCTCCACCCTTTGCTGCCTCAGAACTGCAAAGGTCAGGGACTTTGCCTTGAGGGGAAAGCCGCAAGGCCCCTGTTCCGGAATGGCCACTGCACCAGGTTCCAGAATGGCGGCTGCATGGAGAAATTATTTCTCCAAATCAGGGTCAGAGTGCACAGCCATTCAGGCACTTGACCCCTACAGCCAAGAGAGAGGAAAGCCTGGCTAGTGCTCCAGCTGGTAGCAGACCTTGGCACCATCCACATGGCATTGGTTTTAGGTGCATTCACAATGCAGGAGTTCTGAGGTTAAGAAGGCTTCCACCTCAATTTCAGAAGAAGACCTGGGAGGCCAGGTAGTGTGCCCCTGAGAGGGCAGTGTGTGAAGCTGTGAGTGAGAAGCCTATTCAGTGGAAACCCCAGAAGTTTGGAAAAGCCAGGAACGTGGATTGTCTAAGGGAAGCTGCAAGGAGGGAGCAAAGCCGGCCTAAGAGAGAAGCCATGGGAGCTACCACCTCGAGTGCCACAGGGGCGGAGCCTAATGGAGCTCCCAACTCATCTCAGATTGCTTGGGATGTTCCACATGGAACTGCAGGACTTAATATCTGTCCTGCTGGAGTT